ACATCAAAATTTCAAACTCTTTAATAAGAATCTCTAGAACTCAAGTATGCAGTTTGATGAAAATTTTTTGAACTGTCTCGAATTGTTATCACTCTTGAACAAAGTTTAAAACTTTGAGTTACATATTTTTCGTTGTAACATGAAATACATTTTCTTAAAAAATAAATTAAAAGTAATACATAAAAATAAATGGTCAAAACTTTTAAAAACAAATCGTTTCTAATTATCGGGCCACCAGTATATAAACAGTGATGAACAAAAGTACTGGCACAGTTAATTTTAAGCTATGTATGCAAAGTTTTTTATCTTATTTATTTGCGATAATTTTTTATAAAAATATGGCACATACTAAACCAAAAAACATAAATATCAAATCTCCAAACTTTGTGCAAAACTCAGAAAAATTCAATAAACTTGCAACTTTTTATTAAGATTTTTTAGAAAAATTCTAGGAATGCAGTTTTATAGCCCATTAAATTTTAAAGAAAGTGCAAGTTTGAAGGTGCTTGAAAATCGCGTTGGTTTTTGGCAATTTTTTTAGTCGAAGGTGTTGCTCATTTTCTCCATACAAAAAATAATTGTCGAACATACTATTGTAATGGCACCGCTAACAATACGGCAGCACTATTCAGCGCCGTCGTAATGTTGGTAGCCCTGTTGGAACATACGTTCCACAGGTACCTAAAGCCGAGTGAAAAAACGAATGTTAAATCAATCGAACTCGTACTTTCAAACCTGGCGGACACGCGCAAATAAAACTCAACTCATTTTTGTAATTTAAAGTTAAAATCAAAGTGTTTCATTTTTCTAAAACCGTAAGTAGTTGCGCGAGTGAAAAGAATTTAAAATATCCTGCTATTTTCGGCTACTAGGGCGTAGCCCCTTGAGAAGTTAATTGCTGCGAGGCGAAATCCAGCGAGCGTTGGAAAACGGCTCAGCCAACATATTGGCAAGATAACCTTCGGCGGCAACAATCAACTACCACCCACAGGAATCGCAGCAGGAGCAGTTTCTTTATTTAAAGCATCGCAACACTCAGCAGTTTCAACGTTGGTGAGTTATTTTAAACTTAACATGGCGACCGTGGCTAAGGTGCCAAAGTGTCCGAGGGCGCCAACCCGAGCAAAAATGAAAAATCATTAAAAAGTAAAAATTAAAAAAAGCGGTTGTGTGAAGTGGTGTGGTGGCTAAATTTTATAGTGCGTAATAATTACTATCGCAACTGTACAGTGAGAAATAGGTACGCGAGCAGTTGGCAACGGGTACGCAAAAGTACCGCTATATATATAGATATACGCAACTGTACAGTGAGCAGTACGCGAGCAAACGGCAATTTGGCAACGGGTACGCAAAAGTACCGCTATGTATATACATACGAACAACTACGTAGTTAGCACATAACTCCACAGCAAAATTAAGGCAAGTCACGCCACTTCCCATACACACACGCACACGCGCGAATATAGAAAGCCCCATACGCGCGTACAACAGTATTGTGCACTGTAACTGGGCATACGGCGGTCGCGTTCAGGCATAACACCAGCCAAACAGAGGTACACTGATAAATAGTGC